AAAAAAGAATCGATCTGATTCAAGTCATAATCTATATGGGATTTCCAAAGTTATTAATAGAGGGTAAGCTGGAAGAATTACAGACGAATATGCAAAAAAAACTGAATTGTGTGAACCGAAAACTTAACATTGCTATTACAAGAATTGCAAATGCTTATAAACATCCTAATATTCTTGCAGAATTATAGCCGGACAATTAAAAAATAGAGTTTCGTTTCGTAAAGCAATGAAAAAAGCTATTGAATTAACTGAACAAGCAGGTACAAAAGGAGTGCAAGTACAAATTGCGGGACGTATCGATGGAAAAGAAATTGCACGTATCGAATGGATCAGAGAAGGTAGGGTTCCTCTACAAACCATTCGAGCTAAAATTGATTATTGTTCCTATACAGTTCGAACTATTTATGGGGTAATAGGTATCAAAGTTTGGATATTTATAAACTAAAGAATAACCAATTTTTCCTTATCTTTAAGGTTTCATGTTTCAATAAAACAAAAAATTACAAACTATTTCATTTTTATTCCAAAACAAAAAAATGATAAATTTTATAAGATTGAATTGAATAAAAAATTCAATTAATCATTTGATATTGATATAATTGCTATGCTTAGTGTGCGACTCGTTAGTTTTTTAGAATGCTTAAAATTCAACAAAAAAAAAAGAAACCAACTCATAATATGAATTAATTAAAAAGAACTAATAACCAACTCATTGCTTCGGATTATCTAGATTTAAAGAAATAGTCAAAACAAAAAAATTAAATAAAGATATGATATATTAGTAATATAATTATAGCAACTCAAATATTGCAGAAAAAACAAAAAAAAAAATGAATATGATTATGAGTTGTAAAGCAATAAAATAAAAATATACAGATAAATGAAGGGGTGAAAGAAAGAGAGAAAAAAATCTATGATATAGAATTCTAATATGTAAAGGTCTATGGGTCATCTCATAAAAAGCAGTGTAATAAAGCATCAATAGGAATTAATCCATATATAAATGGATATATTCATAACACAAACAAATCAAGAGCTCCGAATCAATAAAAACTGAGAAGGTTGATTCAAGAAAAAAGAAATAGTATTTAAAAAAAATCTTATAATTAGAGAGGCTCCGTTGTAGAATTCAGACCTAACCATTAATTGAGAAGCGATGGGAACGACGAAACCTGCGAATATCTAAGATTTTTTTAAACAAATCTTAATGATTCATTAGGTGGGATGGCGGAACAAACCAAAAAAGAATCCATTCTTTTTTATTGAGGAATTATGCCCTACATTCCATCTGAATTTGGTAATAAAAGAGTGAATTTTCGCCCGCGAAAATTTGTATTTTATTGAATTTTTTTATTTTTGCCAATCCGATATGATACGATATGATAATAAAAGAAAAAAGAAAAATAGAAATAAGGATTCGTTAGAATATTATAAGATAACAAAACAATATTATTTAGTTATATACAGATAGCAAAAATTGTCTTAAATTGTCTATAAGAATACATATTAAGTTATATATCAAAACAAGATATACAAATTTCCAATAGACTAATAGATTCTATGAAATCTCAAAAAATCCCGCGATTCTATTATTCATTAAACATATGTATATTAGTGTATATTATTTTATCGATTAAATCGATTTATATATATATATTATTGGAATCGTTTCATTCGCGAGGAGCCGTATGAGATGAAAAATCTCATGTACGGTTCTGTAATAGAGATGGAATTGAGAAACAACCATCAACTAGAACCCCAAAAGAACCAGATTTCGTAAACAACATAGAGGAAGAATGAAAGGAATATCCTATCGAGGTAATAATATTTGCTTCGGAAGATATGCTCTTCAGGCACTTGAGCCCGCTTTGGATCACGTCTAGACAAATAGAAGCGGGACGGCGAGCAATGTCACGAAATGTCCGACGAGGTGGACAAATATGGGTACGCATATTTCCAGACAAACCAGTTACAGTAAGACCCACCGAAACGCGTATGGGTTCGGGAAAAGGATCTCCCGAATATTGGGTATCTGTCGTTAAACCTGGGAAAATACTTTATGAGATGGGTGGGATATCAGAAAATATAGCCAGAAAGGCTATTTCTTTAGCAGCCTCAAAAATGCCTATACGAACTCAATTCATTATTTCAGGATAATAATGAAAACCAAAGGAAAGAGGGCTTTAGGATGAAAACATAAAAATGCAATTGTAAGTTCCTTATTTTTGAACACAGAATATTTTTTTTTACTTCAATCTTTGGACTGAAAGAACAAAAAAATGATATGATTCAACCTCAAACCTATTTGAATGTAGCTGATAACAGCGGAGCCCGCGAATTGATGTGTATTCGAATCCTAGGAGCTAGTAATCGACGATATGCTTATATTGGTGACATTGTTGTTGCTGTAATCAAGGAAGCATCCAAAGGAAAGCAAGTCCGAAAATTATTGCACACACTTAGAAGATCGAAGTGATTCGGAGAGCTGTAACCTTATGTC